GGGTTTCGGATTATAGTTTCGGGAGTTTCGGGTTTCGGGGTTTCGGTTTTTTTTCTAAAAATCCGAAACTAGTTTCGAATTAGTACCTTTCCGAAACTAGTTTCGGGTAGGTTTCGTTTCGAGTCCAACTCTATTATGGTACTATACATTTCATTCGTCATCCTTATTCGCATTCGCATGCTGTAGATGATAAAGATTAGACGGCATGAAAAATCACAAGAGGGTAACTTACATTAAATAAGCATTAATCATAGGTCTTGGGCAATTTTTTCTTATTTCCATTATTTAAACAAATAATCAACCGTAAGGATGATTATATTAGCTTAGATTTGTTGTTCCCGATGCCACTCCCACTCTCATAGCCGATCATCATAGAGATTATTTCTCTTCGTTAAATATGAATATACAAGTATCTTATAATGGAATAGATTGGGTATGGTGTTTACACTTCGTTTTTGTAAAGATTTAGTTTTACGTCGTTAATTAATCCCATTTAGATACACTCGGCACCATTACTGAAAATAGAAGTTCGACAACTTCCACGAACTGGCCTTGACGGAAGAACGAGATACTTATAATAATCGGAGAGATGATCGAAGAGGGAATAACTTTAGAAATGAGCCTAGTTGGAAAAATGATAGTGAGTATAATGAACGAGAGACTAATACTAGATGGGGAAGTGATAACCGAGAGAATAATTTACTAATTGGCGAAATAACGATTATAGGGATGATGTACGAGGCAGGAGCTGTAAATCTACAAGAAAGGCCAAAGCGAAAAGGGTTCTAAACGTAAATTATATGCATCAAGTGATAACGAAGAAACACCCGATGCTAAATGCCGTAAAGGTAAAAGTAGAACAAGGACATTTGTAGTGTCAACTGAATCGGTATATCCTAGTGAAGTTCCAGGAGACCAACATATACAAACCAGGAGATGTATGAATCCTGAGTATGGTAAATTTGAGCGTTGTTCATCATGTAGGTATTATTATTATTATTATTATTTCTTTGTTTAAAAGCATCTATAAAATTAATATCTTTATATTTGTCTACGTCTATAAGGTCTAGCAAAGAAAATTGACACGCGTAGATTTGTAAACTTTTGGATTTTTGGAACTATCAAGAAAGACTCTGAAAACGAATTTGTTTATGGCACAAAATTTACGTCAATTACTACCCCGATCCACCAGATACCTATGATTTTAAAGAAACAACAGATGAAAAACTAGGTTACATTCTTGGTAAAGATCCATGAAAACTATTATACTATTAACTTGCTCACGTAAATTGCAAGATATGATAGCCTCAAGGTTCTCCAAAGAGAGATTTCTCATTTTGAATATGCAAATATTCGTAAAATTCCTAATAGGGAGATATGTCAATTATGTATTTAGAAGGTATTGGATGTGCTGTAAAGAACTTTGTTTATCTTGCTATGATGAATGGGATGTGAGCAAAAAGCCAAAGACCATCGTATGTAGCTTTAGGCGACCTCACAATAAAGAACAAATGTTGCCTATATATCATTACAATAAGGATATAATACAACGCCTTTTAAATGAAACTGAGGAAATAATGAATGATCATGAGGATAGTATGGGCATCGATGAATTTAATAATGATGAATTACCTGATTTAGCACTCTGAATTTCCCAAATACCAGAAGGCAGTGTTCCAACTACGCAATCTACAGAGTGAACCAAAAGAGTGGAAATTGATATTCTTATCAAAAGCAAAAAAAATTTGAATTTACTTTTCAAGGAACCAAATTTGAACTTTCTCAAATGCCAGAAGGAATATTTCAGCTACGCAGCCAGATTTTGAACTTCTTCAAGTACCAGAAGGCAATATTCCAGCTATACAACCGAATTTTGAACTTCACCAAGTATCAGAAGGCAATATTCCAGTTATACATCCGAATTCAGAAATTAACATCACACCAGAGTTACTACTTCCTACTTTCCAACTATCCATCCACACAATTGCTCTCAACAACTTCATGATAGTCATAAAACAATAGAATGGGAAGAAGATGAACTTACAGAAAGAAATTTTTAAAGATTTTTGGAGGAATGGATACCTGTTCTTGCTAAAGAAAACGTTAAATTGACTATCAAACAATTTATGGACACCCAAATACTTTAAACCAGAATATGGTGAAATAGAATGTGAATGTGTGGATTGTGAGTCTGTTCGACTTACCCAATGAATGTACAAAAATTTTTTGATGCTTTTGAAGATATCGATTCTAGATTCACTCTTAGAAGGAAATATCTGTGCTTAAAGCTAAAGTAAGTCAATTATAGAATAATATTATAATGTAGTCTAATTATATATTAAATATTAATTTTTATTAATTATTTAAAGGACTGGCCATCAACGGATGATTTTGCCAATGTATTTTCTAATCATTTTCAAGATTTCATGAATGACTTGTATTTAAGGAATATACTACTCGTCAAGGTGGTTTAAATTTGGCTAATAGATTGCCAACAGATATAAATCGTCCTGATCTTGGACCAAAAATATAATCTTACGGCTCTGAAGATGCCAATGGTGGAAACGGTACAACAAACCTTCATACGACTCACGAAGATTTAATAATCAAAATTTTAATTCAAGGTACAATCAAGCTCTGGTCGGCAAGATATGATCAAGAGCTTTAATGGAAATCAAAATGTTTATACTACTTGAGTCATGAAGAAAATCAAGTAAGCCTCAAATATATGCTATTTTATCTTATTATTAGTAATATCTTACCATTGTAATTTTTTGTATTTCATTTTAGCAAAAACTGGATTGAAGTTGCTAAATGTCACCACGGTTGCTGTGTACATACCTTGTCATAATTTTATCAGTACAATTAAAAGTGGTATGTATAATGGAAATTTAAAATTTTGGGGCAAAGTTCTGGCCTAGCTTGTATTACGGGTTAATAGCCCAAGATTTGTGAGGCGGGTTTGGTTTAGTTAGGTAATCAATGACCAACCAATCAGATGAACCCTATTATATATAATTTTTTTTTCCCTTAAAAAAGACTATTGGTTTTTTTTTTCTCATGTTTTTTATTTTTATTATTAAAAACATTTAGAATTACGATAATGAGCACTAGACTTAAAGTTGTTTCACAAAACTTTATTTTCAAACACAATGGCAAATTGACAATTAATAAAGAATACTATGAACAATTGTTTACAAGTTTTTTGGGATCCATATTAGAAGAAGAATTGGCGAAAGTAAGTGTTTTTAAACATTATCAAGTAAAATGTTGTCTTTTTTTATTAATATATTTTTTTTTATAGGTGCATGATAATCAAAGGAAAGAAGCATACAAAAACTTAATTGGAAAAATGATTTCAAAAAGTAATGTGATTAGTAATTGCATTGGTAACCTTATGGGTATCATATTAAACCCAAATTTTGTACAAGGCACAAGTTTCTTGGAGCTGATGAATTTGAAAAGATCAAAAAACTTTTAATTGACAAAGAAAAAACTATAGGGTTATTAGTAACGAATAGTAGCATTTCTGATTTGTTAATTCAAAAATTTAAAAACACTAATTTGTATGCTCTGAAAATGAACTTTAAGAACTTTTAATTTTAATTGAAAAAATACTTTCAAATTTTAACAATTATGATATGCAATTAATGCAATTAGGCATGGGCAAATTAATAAAAATGGTAGAGGTGGAATCTGGCAATGTAATTTTTCAAACCGGAAAATTAGAAATCAAAGGTGCAAAAAATCTTAGAATTGTTTTTAAGTAAATTTTTTTTTAATGTAATAAATATTATATTAAATAAATTTATCAAATAAAAATAAATTGTTTACATTCAATAGCTTTTTAAAGTTTTAATTTTTTTTTTGATATGTTCGTTAAATTTACTAACTCAACCGCATATTGTATATCACATCGATAGTAAGTTTCGCAACAAATTTTTACAGTAAATTCTGATAAATTTTACGATTACAATTCCAGAACAAACTAACTAAACCCTAATCACATATTGTGCTTACCACAATTATCATAATACTGTAAAATTTACGACAGTAATTCCAATACAAACTAACTCAATTTTAACCACATTCATCACCATAATAATTTGTAAATTTTTGTATCAAAACTTGCAGTTTTTGAATCCGTGCCCGGTTTGTTGAATATCTACTTAAACATAACTTATCAGATAATAGCTTTATTTGCGTTGATCCTGCAAGATTTTAAAATTTTTATAATTTCTGGCGATGATTTCTTAGTTATTGCTTGATTATATTTGGTAAAATTTTTTTATTTTAATTCTATATATTTATAGAATCAAAATAAAAATAATTTTACTGAATTTGGTTTAATAGATGCCGAGAAATCTTCGGTAAAAGCTCAAATAAATCATTGAATATCGAAAAAAACAAATCGGGTGAATTTTTCTCTTTAAACTTTGATTGAAGATTTTCTTGACACACGTCTATCCAAATTCGATGATTTTTTTTTTATTTTAGTCCTATGAATCTATATAATTAAAATTTTTTTTTTATTTTTACCGAATTTATATGTATAATTGTCGAAAAATTCATTAAAAGTAAAGAAACAAATTTGCCGCAGTTTTTATTTTATAGATACTTAAACTTCGAACGGTGATTACTCGACGCTTACCGGATCAAATTCGATCAATGTTTTTAATTCTATAGGTTCATATGATTAAAATAAATAAATAATTATTATTATTATTATTATCAAATTTGGATATATGGGTGTCGAGATTAGTGTTCTGAACTGGGTTAAACTGATGACCCAGTGAATAAAACCGTTGAAAACAATTAGTAACCGGCTATAACCCCGCTGATAACCGGTTAATTTCGGTTAACCTGAGAAATCTATATCTGATATTAAAAATATTACTTTCCGTCATGGGATTAATTTACATCAGAGTAATGCTAAAAGTAATGCTCTATATATTTGTCGAATTTTTACGTTTTTTTTTTATAGTTAATAAATATAATTTAATGGATTAGATTCCTGGATAATTTAATTACACTTTATTTTATTGATAATTGGATTTTTCATAGGTCAAATCCGTTTTTTATAAACTTGAAAGTCCTAAGTTTGGCATTTATATGACAGAGAGTTAGAGGTTTGCGAATAAGTAATTTACTATATACATTCATTAAAACAAGGACATTTTAATTCATAGTACATTTAACCATAATTTGAACTTGACAGTATTATCAAGACAGTATAACGGTTAGCTGTAATAACCGGTTAACCATTAAAAGTAACTGGTTTACTGTTTTGCTGAACCGTAACCCGGGTGGTTCAACGGTTAACCCGGTTATTCATTGAACGGTTCAGATCACTAGTCGAGATATCTTCGATCAATGTTTAAAAAAGGATTTTTTTAAAAAATTTTACCTTGTGTTTTGAGTCACCCGCGGGTGGCGGGTAACCCGGGTTGAGATATCACTACCCGGGTGAAGACGGGTGGGTCAACCCGCGGGTCACCTGTAGACCAACCCACGGGTGACCCGTGGAGAAACGAAGGCTACTGTCGGGGAGTTTCAGAATTGTAGACAGTCAGGATCGTAAAATAAAAGCAAGGTCGACGGAGAGTTCGGAATTGAATATTTTTTTTTTTACAGCTGTTTTCATAAATTCTGAAAAATTGCCAATAACTGAATCGATAAGTTTTAGAGTTTGACCAAAGTTGGTTATTTATTGGTTCCGACTCGGTAACTTATCGATTCGGTTATCGGCAATTTTTTTAGTTGTTCCAAAATTTATGAGCTGTAATGATGCGTGTACCACCCGGTAGTTTTTTTATAGGGGAATTTACATATAAGGTCCAAAAAATGAAAATAATTACAAATAAGGGTCCAAAGTGAAAATAATTACATATAAGGGCCCAAAATTTTAAAAAATTTTACAATTAAAGACTTTGCATTATGATGATAGTGGTTCTTCGAATGTTATAACTGTATATATGTATTGATTTATACATTTTATACTTTACTTTCGCTTAACGGACTTTCCTTTAACTAACAAACAATTAAACTATATGATATTTATTGATATTGTAATGTCTGTTCGGTTCTAAACTAATATTTTTACCTTATCGTTATACCAAACTAGTAACTCAATATTTTGTAAAGGTACTATGTATTAATCGAAGATATTTAGAACTGAATGAGCTCCTTTTTTATTCGTAGAGAAAGTTAAATTACATAAAAAATCGACAAAAGTGGTTATAATTTTACATGAAAGGCGCTAAGAGAATAAATGTTAAAAGGCAATTACATTTATATAATTTTATATACGATAAATTTGAACCCTTGATTGTAATATTTTTTTTCAAAATTTTGCCATTATATGTAATTATTTTCACTTTGGACCCTTATTTGTAATTATTTTATATGTAAATTCCCCTTTTTTATATGACCACCGGGTGACGGACAGGAGATGTCATTTTTCATCTGACCCGATTTCCACTCGGATGAATTATAGCCCACCCGTTGGGTGACCTAGGTGGAGAATTTTTAGATGGGTCAAATCACTAAGCGATTTTCGGGAGATATCATAGAAAATTTTATACGTGTTCCGGATCACTCGGTATACCTTCGGCGGGTCACCCGGTTCACCTCCGACGGGTCACCCGGGCGAATAACCGACACGATTTTCACCCGGGTGGCACATGGCCCACCCGACGGGTGACCCGGTGGCGATTTTTTAAACGGGTCAAATCACTACTTTTACCGAAGATTTCTCGAGAACCATTAAACCAAATTCAATAAATTTTTTTTTTATTACAGCTATTATTATAATTCCTGAAACACCTGATAAAAATTAGCCGAATGCTTTTTCGGTCGATTCGGTTAAGTTTGATTTCGGCATGATCAATTATATAATAAAAATAATAAAAACTATTATGATCAATTATTATAAAAATAATGTCAACGTTATTAAATTTTCGTTCCAACGCTTGTCCGACATGCTTGGTGTGCTTAGTTTGCACGAAAATTTATGAAAAGACTGCTCGTGTCAACCAATTAACCTTAGCAAGAAATCTAAAGAAGGGACCGGAAATAAATTAGACTTTTATAACAAATACATTACACGAACAGGTGCCGCTATTAAAAAAGTTAATATGATCATGAATTTGTCGACTGGTTTAAAAATGAATCTCAG